ACTTTAGAAATTTTGATCACCCCTGAGGCAACCACACATCTGCAGTCTGTCTCTATCTACTTGCCAATTCTGGGTAGTTCTTATGCATGCAGTTAGAAATATGCACTCCAAATATAATGTATGGATCTGCGTGGCTGTTTTTTCCACCTAGCGTATTTTCGAGATTCATTTATTTTGTAGCATGTTTCATACGTTATTTTTATTGCCAAATAATGCTATACTGGATAGGCATTTTATTTCTGTGGTCAGTTGATGGGCATTTGGGTGGTTCTTCTTCTTGTCTATTGTGCACCATGCTGCCGAGACCATTTGTGTACGAGTTTTCACGTGGATATGTGTGTTCTCACTTCTCTTAGGACGACACATGAGATATATGTGAAGTCACATATCTTTAACCTTTTGATGAACTGTTTTCTACATTGGCTGCATCATTTTCTATTTTTATCAATACTGCATGAGGATTCCAGGTTCTCCACATCTTCACTAACACTTTTTATTATCTATCTTTTTTACTGTTTTTTATTTTATTTTTATGATAGCCATCCCAGTGGGTGTGAGTTGGTACTTGATGGTGGTTCTGACTTGCATTTCTCTGATGGCTAATGGTGGTGAGCTTCTTTTCACTTCCTGTTGGCTATTTGCATGCCTTCTTTGAAGAAATGTGATATATAGATTTACAACTATGACAACAAAAAAGCCCCTGCTGAGGCTGCTTATGTATGTGTAGCTAAAAACTTCATGGGGGCGAGGTTGGTTCCTTGGTTTGTAGGTTTTGGATAATGTTTTCATGGAACAGCCCAGTTAATTGGCCTAATAGTATGGTTAGTTGTCTTTTCTAGCTCCAAACGTAGTGTGGAGTGCCTGTGGTCTCAAAAACTTACAAGCAGCCATTCAAGGCACAGATACTAGTCTCTATGTGCCTGGGGCAACAGAGGAAGAAAGTCAGGGATAGGAGGATGATATGACGTGTGTGGCTAATCCCTCTGTGCACAATTAACTGCTTCCTTTGCTGTGAAATCTGAATTACATGGTGCCTAACTACCATTACTGAACATTTTGGTCAAAGATTCTATTGACGAATACTAATCAAAGGGGGAAAATGCAGAACAGGATTTCAAGTTCTCATGGAATCCAGAAGGTCTGGAGTCAAGGGGCCTGCACAATCCACTGAAAAGAATGCTTAAAGATAACCTTTAAGCCAAAATTACCTCTTAAAGTCTTTTTTTTTTTAAGTCAAATAGTAGTTTAGCTTAGCTAGTAAAAAATATCTGTCTTGAGCATCATGTTCTTTTAAGAACTATTTTTATAGTACCAAGGTGACAACAGCAGTCAAAAATTCTATAGGAACCTCAGGGAGCAGTGAGTTTATGTCAATCAGAGGAACAGCTTTGAAAACAGTGGGTAAAGGTAATCAAGCGGCCATCAAGCTCAGAAGCAACAAAGCCCACATGGAAGAAGCACACCAGCCTATCCAACCACGAGGTGTCGAAGGGATCAGGTGTAAGGCATCATCAGAACAAAAAATCTTACCATAGTGAATGATGGGGGGAGTGCGGAGTGGAGACCCAAAGCCCATTAGTAGGCCACTGGAGATCCCCTTGCAGAGGGGCCTAGGGGAGGAGTTGAGCCAGTCACGGTGCGATGTAACAATGATGAGAAATACAACCTTCCTCTAGTTGCTAAAGGTTTCCTCCCCGCTCCCACTACCATGACTCGAATTCTATCTTGCAAGACTGGCTAGACCAGAGGAGGTACACTGGTACAGATAGGAACTGAAAATACAGGGAATCCAGGACGGATGAGCCCTATAGGACCAGTGGCGTGAGTGGCAAAACAGGGAGGGTAAAGGGAGAATGGGTAGGGAATAGGGAACCGATTACATGGAACTGTGTGTGACCTCCTCCCTGGGGGACGACAACCAAAAAGTGGATGAAGGGAGACGTCGGACAGGACAAGATATGACAAAATACCCATTTATAAACTATCAAGGGCTCATGCGGGAGGGGGGAGCAGGGAGGGAGGGGAAAAATGAGGACCTAACGTCGGGGGTTTAAATGGAGAGAAAATGTTTTGAGAAACGATGTACAAATGCGCTTTACACAATTGATGTGTGTATGGATTGGGATAACAGTTGTATGAGCCCCTAATAAAATGTTAAAAAAAAAAAAAAAAGAAAACAGTGGGTCAGAAAGATTGAGTAACTTGCAGAATATAACCAGTATCACTGAATTGTACATGTAGATGTGGCTGAATTGGTCTATGTTTTATTGTGCATATGTTCCAAAAAGGAAACATCTCTTCCAATCCTTTATCCATTTTACTGAAGCTTATTTGTCATAAAGTCATTGGACAATGTTTTCAACAGGTTAACAGATATAAAAGAAAAAATAAATCAGTTTAATGAAGAAATTAGACAACTTGACATGGACTTAGAGGAACACCAAGGTAATATTTCTGATATTTTTATAATGTAGATTAACCGAGGAATAGTACTAGTATACAGTATTATTATCAAGTTAATTTAACTCTTTGTTAACTATTTAGCTTCCATAAATTTAAAAGTTAACTCTTTATGATATTCATATAACTGCTAAAGGACATACTAAATTTTATAAGTAATATTACAGAAACTATACACACATCACACACTGCAATAACTTTTAAAAATTGTTCTATAATGTAGGAAATGTATTTAGGTTTGGGATTTTTGGGGGGAGAAAGGGGAACAGTTTCATAATATTATCTAATTATCACAATTGACTGTCTCTTTGAAAGTGGTGACAGTTGCCTAGGTAACCAGTGTCTAGAGTTTGGGTGGTGGATGGTCATCCCTGTTATGCTTTCTGGACAACCGTGCCCAGATGCAATATGGGACATTCCTGATTGCTTTGGCCCACACGAGACTGCTGTCAATGTGCACCTCTGATGTTCCCATCTCTTTTCTGGCAAATTGCTGGATCCTGAAGGCCAGAGGGGCATGCCTCTTGCAGCCCACTCCACGCATGCTTTTGTGAATGCTGATGGTGCAGGCTCTGGCCACCGCTTTGGCAATAGCAGAGCAGCTCTTCTTCTCACTACCCTTCTCTGTGAGAGCCACAGTGCTGGGGCCAGGTTGGAAAGGAAGCGAAACTGTACTTAGTAGTGCGAAGTTGAGGGTTTTGTCCTCCCCCACATTAATGAAGTAAAGTGGTTTAAAGTTCTTATACATCCTAAATCAAGCTTCTTCAATGTAACTGGGAACAAGTAGGATTATGAGGTGGAGTGATGATCGAGTCATGATATCACAAATAACTCAGAAACATTCCCCAGAGGAGCACATTAATGATGTACCAAGTACTGATTACCCTGATCTTCTCCCAGCTTTGCCCAACAGTGGGATTTGATGAGCTAAGGCAGAACCCAGACACCTGGGGGAGCTGGGGAGCTGAATAAGTGGAAATGCTGGGATAGGCTCCCCAGAGTGTGTGTGGTTGGGGTAAAGACTTAGGAGGGAAAGTGTCCTAACTCACTTCTCTCTCATAAGGAAGAGAAAAATAGGTTTTCCATAGTAGATTAATCACAGGTTAACTGTCAACTGGGTACTATGCTCTTGAATTATTAAGAATATGAGGGTAAGTCAAAAAGTATTGCTATGAGGATTCTGGTTTTTATATGTATGGTTTTTTACAAACAGAACATGTTTAAGCAGATCTCTGCATGCAGTGGAAGGCTGCAAGCACGTTTTCTCATTGGTACATCTGTCTTAGTTTCGTTAGAATGACTTGAAAGGAAGAGAGAGGCAGATCCAAGCAGTGGGTTGTGAGGGGATCTCCTGGGTCAGCTCGCCTGAGACGTCGCCCAAGGGGGTGCAGGTTTTCTCAAAGGAGGACACAGGACAACCTTCAGGCTTATTAAGACATTTGACAAAAATGAAAAACTTCAGTGGTGAAAAAAAGACTGGAAAAAATGGGCGGAGGACATTTTTACAGTTCACATGCTCATTGTTCAAAGGTATAGGGAGTTTGCTGGGACACTTTCCCCCTTTCACCTTACTGCCCTGAATTTAGATACTTTGGAGGATATATTCTAAATGACCTTAAATTGCTAACACATTCAGTTTCTTTCCAGTAAAAAACTAATTTTGCAGAGAATAATTCATTATCAATCACTAGTATTCCAGTGTCAATAGGATGCTTTAATTTTAACCTCCATTCATCCTTTTTTAAAACATTCCTTGTCCTCTTTTATGAGGAAAAAACAACAACCGTATCTGTAGTGCAGTGTAATTAATAGTGGCAAAAAGGCCACTTTCACTTATATAAATGTTGATATTTATACATCCAAATATATGCTGCACATGTGATCACCCTAGATTATTGATGCAACAGTATACAAGGTTTTTGTTAGAAATTTACTTGTAAGAACGTGGCCTATTTAGTTAAGGATTTCATTATTTCTTACCCGACGTATTGCAGTACTGGTCCCACCACCTCCAGTCTTTCCCCTCTCCCATTCATCCACCACAGTCTCACCATTTTTACCAAGAAGACACACACTATAAACCTTATGTACGCCTTCTCAGAGCTTGAATCACATTGAATGAACTGGATTTTACTGGGTTATGTTTCTTGCCTTTTTTTAGTTAATTGGTTTTGCCTCAAATGCCCATTCTCATACATTGTCATTAACTGTGCGGTTCGCCTCAGAGGAAGGAGAGCGCCTCTTCCAGATTGATTTATTGTTTCTTGAACAGAGTTAAGGTTATTTTTTAGACACAGATAAATTTGTTTTGGAAAAAATAGCTGTTTGCTATATTTGAACCCCATGTGAGCTTAATGTGAAAACGCAAGCCTTACAAAAAAGTATGCAATGAAAAGGCACCTTCTTTCCCTCACATTCAATCACAGCCTTCAGAGGGAATCACTGTTTATCGTCTGATGTCATCTTGTTAGACACCTTTTAATATACAAGGGCTTTATGTGAGTGGGGAAATGGAATGAAAAGATATGGAACTTCTCCACAAACTTCTGGAAGTCCATACACATATAAACTTTTTTTTTAATGGAGTAATGCTAGGTAATTATTGTGTATTTGAGTCATTTTCACTATATGTAATCCCCATTCTCCTTCATAAGGTGGGTATTTCCTTCTGAAAAATGGCATGCCTTAGTGACCAATTTCAGGGCCTTTATACAGTAATGCCTGGTACATATTAAACAGTCACAATTGGTACATATTAAATAGTCATTGTTGAGTTTTCTAATTGACATTTAAATTGTTTCAAATTATTTATTACCAAGAACAATGCCAAAGTACATATTTCTGTGCATACATGTTTTTCAACTTGAGTATGTCTCTGGAATACTTTCTCAATGTGCAATTGTAAATAGAAAGTTATATGTATAATTTTGATTTTTTTAATCATTTCTTTGTAGAAATGTTTGTGCATTTTATGTAACCAATAACAATGTGCAAAAGTGTTTTCTTCCCCATGCTAGCTATTATAAAAATTTAGGTTCTGTTGGTCAAGCTTATATCCACAGATCTCTACCATTTCTAAAAGTGTGTGTATGTTCGCAGAGGCCTGAATTGATAATACTGCCGTTATCCACAAGATGGGGCTGGTTTTCTGGTACTAGTCTAAATACACAGACCAGGATGGGGAATAAAATTCACGAAGTAGAGAGTATTCAGTCATCTGTCTCTCCAGTGGGATTTTTAGAGTTGATTACTCACTAAAATGTATCTCTGTTTTTATCGTGCCTAGTATCTTCTCAAAGATTGATTAGATTATAAAACAGAATATCCTTTAATTTATTAACATCACAGATATGTAAATAACTAGCTGCTAAACTGTGATTAATATATATTATAATAAAATAAGACAAAGTGCTATAAGAAGATTAGATATATTTTACTGTTCTAAGTTCTGAATGTCTGGTAACTTGCCCTATAATTTTTATCACTGTTTCCCAAAGCAGGCGGTACCGCCCCTTGGGCGGCACTGGGACAATCCAAGGGAGCTACAGAACTCTATCCTGGTCTTAATGGACTATAGTACAGAAGCCTGGGGGACACTGGGTAATATTTTTTTCTGAAAAGGGAGTGGTAGGCCAAATAAGTTGAGGAACCTATGTGAAGATGTTAGAAGGGGGCTCTTACCAGCTCAGTATGAGTTAATTTCTGCGGTATAGCTGCCAACATAGTCAAAATCCTAGGTTGCCTTAACAGGAAGATCATTCTGTCGACTGTGAGATGTGATATTCTTCGTGGACTCTTACATTTCCTGGCTCTCCAGTTGAGAAGGAAGAAACAAAGCATGGGGACACATTCAGAGTCGAATGACTAGAATGATGATCACTGTGTCTGAAGGTTTTGAAATTCATGTTACATTTTTTGGTCTCTTTTATAGGAGAAATGAATCAGAAGTACAAGGAACTAAAAAAGAGAGAAGAAAATATGGACAGTAAGTTCCAACCTCATAGATGTAAAGATACGATCGTCTACGATTCATGTACACTGTTCATTTGTACCAAAGCCAGGTCATGGGGGGCATTTCATTGCGAATTCTGAATGCGGAAGTGCGGACTTTCCTAGTTTACTTGAATTGTCAAGATGAGAACAATGGGGGCTTAAAGGCTTGAAAGTAGGTAAAATGGTTTGTAAGGAATTTTCACTTGGGCTAATAAAAAACCAGTGAGCATGTAAAATTTATATTAGTCAGAGTTTATATAGTCAGAGGTAACCATCTCCACGGCAGCCTTTCTTATCATGTTTATGCATCGGCAGCTTTTATCGAGACTTTTGAGGAAACTAAGAATCAGGAACTAGAGCGGAAGGCGCACATCGAAGCCAGCATTGTGGCGCTTTTGGAGCACTGCAGTCGAGTGAGTACCATGTGCCCATCCTGCTATCATCCCATTGTGGTCCCTGCGGCCGCCTTTTCCAGTGCCGCTCAAACATGGGCCCACTCAGCATTGTAGCTGCGCTCTTACCTGTTTCCTTTAAATTGCTCCTGCCCCTTATCTTGTTCCTTTAAGTTGTTAATGTTTATCTCCCTTGTAAAATGTCAGCAAACTAGTAAATGTCATTGTTAATGTTTATTTCTCTAGTTAAATGTCAGGCAGTAGGGGGAAGGAGGACATATGTATGACTTCTGTATTTAGCACTGAGTAAGTGCAAGGCTTTCTTCCATCGTTAATTGTTCCAAGCTTGTAGAAGTAACATGTGCACAGATAATTTCAAAATCTAGGCATTATTCTGAGCACGTTACCATATTTTAACACTGATTTGCATTGTAACTAGAAAGGATTATTTGTTCACTGAATGAAATGAATATCTAGAGTCATCCAAAAAAAAAAAGTGTTTATTGAACATCTACCAGGGGAGGAAAATACATGCTCTCATTTCTAAATTCTAGATATTTCAAGACTCCGGGTGAGATCCTAAAGTAATGTAGTCGAATATTTTCTACAGTGAAATAAACAAAGCCAGGGAAAAATAAATAATTCTGAAGGTTAGCCTATATTCACTGAGGGAAACCAATGGATGATATACTTTAAAAAAGAATGCTTAATCAGAAAATCACATCTTAAAAAGTGTTTCCCAAGGGTTTTCTGGGAGCATTTAATCAGTGGAGTTTTTTCCTCTGCAAATTCAGAATATAAATCGTATGAAACAGATATCTTCTATTACCAACCAAGAGCTGAAGATGATGCAGGATGACCTCAGCTTTAAATCCACAGAAATGCAGAAATCACAAAGCACAGCCAGGAATTTGACTTCAGGTGAGAAAACCACCTCACTTCCAATATTTCCCACTTTGTCCTGAGGCAGATAGGCATTTATCAATATTTAAAAATTTCCATTTCTTTGAAATTTTTGAAAACTTTACTTCACCATATAATGATTGCCTTTAGCCTCAGTCATTTTGTACCTCCAAATTGGGTGATCTTTTTACCTCATCTTATTAACATTACATTGTGATATTCTCATTTGTTTAAAAGATTTATTGGAGACTTATGCAAACGAGTGGCACAATGGTTAAAGTGCTCCTGAAGGTGGGTGGTTTGAATCCACCCGCTACTGCTTGGGAGAAAGAGGAGGCTGTCTGCTTCTTTGAAGATTACAGCCTTGGAAACCCCGTGGGGCACTTCTACCCTGTCATATACGGTTGCCATGAGACCAGATCAAATGGCAGCAATGAGTTTGGTTTGGGTAGTGTATACATGCCCCACGTCTGTGCTGTAACCCGAGGATACCAAAAACAGCCACACCAGTTGCCATTCAGTCGGATTTTGACTCCTGGCAACCCCATGTGTATCAGCAGAAATGTGCCTTAGGCTGGGTTCTCTAGAGACGCACAACAGTGAAACTTATCTATGTATATATTGTCCTTCTTTCGGAGGTCATGGAATTTTGCATTCCACTTTTATGAATCATTTCCCAAGCCTAGAATAAGAATACTTTGTAAATTAAACCCGTAGGTTAAAATTGGTACTCCCGGTTCTTGGGGGTGGAGAAGGGTAAAACGAATCACAGTCATTATCATGATTTGTGGCCCTCCACAGGGGAAAAGATGATCATACAGTATAAATAATACATAGTTCCATAGCTAATATGTTATACGTGTAGTATAATGTATGTTAATAATATATTAGAAAAGGGAAAAAGAACCAAAAAGACTCCTTCGGGGACGATAGTGAAAGAAAAGGTTGGGAAACACTGGTATAGCGCCTGAGGAAAGGGGCACAGAGTCTGTCAGCAGCAGTTTTTATTTATATTTTTGGAAAGGAAACTCCAGGGAGTAAACAAATGTGCTGATGGCAGAATATTTCAGACACATTTCCCCAGGTCAAAGTGGTTCCTTCTGAGATGTTGCTGTTATGTACACACTGCTTGGTAAACTTTGCAACTTCACAGCATATCAGAAGGAACTAGACTGCATCCTCTTCCTGTCTCTTCCCTTGGAGAAGCTTTTAGCTTTTCAGAAACCTGTTGTTCAAGGAAGATAAACTTTATACCTATACCACCCAGTCATTTTCCTCTAGGGGGAGGGGAAAAGCATTTTCTACAGGAAAAAAAAATTGTATACCTTTCTAACATTAATTTATCTTCAAATTAAACGTTCAGTTAAGATTATATTGCTGTTTCACCACAGTCAGTACAAGTATATTTCTTTAGAGCTTTAAATATCTTAAGCCTGTATATTATTCAACATGTGGATTCTCCTCATAATTATCTCAAACCCTATAGAGATAAGAATTTAATAACAACAAGACCATCACTTGTAGTAGAATCAGAGGTGAAAAAAGGGAAGCCAGTTCAAAGCTATGTGTAAACTTGACCCTAATCCATGTCTGACTGCTGTTCCACACATGCATCAGGTAGATTTTGTGGGGGAAAGTATCAGCTGGAAACTGAAAGAATCAAGTAAAAATGTAGATGCTGCTCACCCTGTGGGAACATAATTGAGAGTTTGCGTCCAACTTAATCAACATTCTTCAAAGGAACACAACAGAGTGCAGTCTCTACAGCATTTACAATGCCCAGTGTACTAGCAAACATAAATTACATGTATAAAAACAGGAAAATGTGACTCAAGGGAAAAGCAGTCACTATATGTAAAAAGGCTGCAGAGATGATATTTGACCTCCTCTGACTTCACAAGGGGTAAAGAGAATCAAACTCCACATCAGCCCAATCCCATTGAGCTCAGACATGGCTCCACCCTCCAACCTACGTTTCCAAATCTGACAGCAACCATTCCTCCCACAGCACTCTCTGTGTCTCAGCCGGGTTTGATCACTCACTGCAATGGCTCCTCCACACTGAAAATACTCCCTTGGATGGGCTTTATCAGGGAAGTTCACAGGTTACAATTCAGGAGAAGAGATGTTAAGACACAGTTCATTGGTCAGGACCACCTCTTCCCCGCCATGCCTGCAGACTCTGGTCCTTGGCCCCCAGCCACATGAATATTTATCCTCTGCCTTGCTCAGGTAATGTTATAAAGCTCTTCTAGGGCTGCTATAAATGCCCGAAGAGCACACAGCTTCATTATAAGGCTCAGCCCGAAGGTGATCTAGTTCTATGGGTCAGCAAACTAGCTCTCTCCATCAAGGGCCTGGAGGCAGTCCACAGGGCAAGGGAATTTCCTGCCTGAAGCCGCTCAGCTTTACTCAGTCTGTGGACCAGAGCCCATCACTCTGTCCTGTGCTCGCTCTGCTGCTTCTCCTCTGCCAGTCTTCTGGTGTCAGCTTTATGTCCCTGGATTGAGAATTTTCTATGTGCAGGCTTCTCAGGGTCCAAAGACGTGCTCTACTCCTGGCTTATCTCTGTTGATGGGAGTGCTAATCCCCTCTTCTTGCTTCTATGACAGTTCATTTTATACCAAGTAGCATAAGTAGACTTGATTTCCATGCTTGAGTTCCTAATTGAAATTAAGTTTTACTAATTGAAATTAGCCCTGATAACACCACTCTTGAGTGAATCAGATCCTGTCAGCATCTTCTCCCACCTTCCCTTACCAAGACCCACCAAGAAAAGAAAAAATACACCCGGTCTGGGTGGTCCTGACCAGTCGCTGCAGAGACTATGGCTAGAAGAAATCACTGTGTCACACTATCCACTAAGCCTAAAATAATCCAGATCATGAAATTTAAAAAAATTTAAATTGTATAAACATGTTCAAGGGATTAAAGAAAAATAAAATTATAATAAATGAATAGATGAGGACTCTCACAAAGAAATGGAAATTACAAAGAAATTCTAGAATTGAAAAAATGAAAGTACTGTAACAAAACTGGAAAAATTCACTTGATAATTATAATAGAAGACTAGAGATAGCAGGCAGGGGAAGAGTGAATGAACTTGAAGTTTGAGTAATAGAAATTGTCCAATTTGAAGAATAAATAAAAATAGAACCAAAGTGACCCAAGGGATGATGTTGTGTAATTGGAATCCCAGGTGAAGAGAGAAAGAATAAGGGAGAAGATGTAATTACAGAAATAATGGCTGAAAAATCCCAAAATTTGATGAAAAACTTAAGCTACAGATCCAAGAAGCTCGCTGAACCCACACAGGACTCATACAAAGAAAATCACATATTTTCATTAGTGAAAAAGCAGGCATTTAGAAACTGTTCCTGATCCCTGCCACATGCATTGTGGCTTCGTTTGTGCTCTACCTAGCAGTTATCCTGTGTATTGTACATGCTTGTTGAATCACCTGCTTTCACCTCTGGCAGATAACTCCTTGAGGGAGACAGTGTTCGTGCTACTTTCCATAATATATCAGTAGCTCATACATTATAGAAGCTCAGTATTTTTGAATGGAGTAATGAGATGCCCATGAAGTATGTATATGTAACTATAAAATGGTGCTATATACATATATATGTATATATATATTTCATAAACTTGATTTTGTTTTATTTATTCCATTTAAACCATAGGTTCCCAACCTTATTGTGAGGGAAAGGCCAGCCCCCCACAGCAAATCGTGGGTTCGATAGGCACAATTGAATGGTTAAAATATATATAAAGATTATAATAAAGTCATAGAGAGCATGAGAGATAAAAGAGAGATTGAAATAATGGAGTCAGACACATTTCATGGTAGCATGCTCACCTTAGCCTCACTTAGTTGTCCACATGGAGAGACCAGAGGGCAGGAGAGAGGGGGAGGGTCAGGAGGACAAGAGGAAAGGGAACAGGGGAGTGGGGACAGGAAGAAGAAGGGAGGGGGCCAACGAGAGGATCTTTATTGCTAACCAAGGCTTATATATCTTTGGGGGGCGGCGTGAAAGCCCCCTAATTACTTGTAAAGACATACGTCACAGGAAGGGGTTGTATTATAGGTAATACAGCAATGAGAGAGGAGCAATCTAGGGATATACATGCAATAGGAAGATGAGGGATTAAGGGTACACGTGACAAGATGGGCAGATCCTAGATTCAGGATGCTGGCCTAACTTTGGATGTCACTGAGCAGGTTTGACCTGTTCTCTGGCTCACTATAGAAACCTCATCTACAGGGACCAGACTGGTGTTCAGGAGCCTTTAGGGAGAAATAGTCCATTGACCTTAACAGCAGGCCCTACCTGTGGTGGGGCCAGACAGTAGTCTGGCAACTAACTGCCTTCAGGGAGGTAACTCGACAATCATTTACCATTAGTTGCAAGCAGTGTCTTAAGTCTAACATAAATTTGGGAGAGATGACTTGGGAGAAATTTTTCTGTCTACTACACCTTATTTGACCTAGCACCTTTTTTTTCAGAAAAAAATTACTCAGTGTCCCCATGATAATTAACAAATGTTGTACTAAAGTCCATAATCCAGGATAAAGTGTAGATGTCTACTTTGGTAGCCGTCCCCTGCCTGATTGCTCCAGTGCCCACCAAGTGGTGGTGGGATTGCCCACTTTGGGACACACCGCTGTAAACTGTGTGTGTGAGATTAAGAAAGATCTTGTTATCTCATATATTCCTAGACAAGAAAGGACACTTGTGCATGTTGTTATATGTTTGTATGATCATGTAGGCAGGCATGGCAACTATGCACCAAGTAAGCCGCTTACCTGCGATGAGGACTTCCTTCCCTTTGTGGTTCTTCATCTTGTCTCCCTGGCGGCAGTGACTCTGCTGCCTTCATAGATATGCTCCTAGAACGAGGTTGGTGCAGCTTGCCTCCCAGCTCCTGGTGTGAAAGGGGAAAGCCTGGGTTAATCACGGCCTCACATCACTGCCTTGCAGATAGTCAGCGTCTACAGTTGGACCTACAAAAAATGGAGCTCCTGGAAAGTAAGATGACTGAGGAGCAGCAGTCTCTGAAAGGGAAAATTAAGCAAATGACCACAGATCTGGAGACCTATAATGATTTGACAGCGCTGAAATCATCAGGCGAAGAAAAGAAAAAGGTAAATGCTAACAGAATCTTATAAAATGACAATCCAAGTTGTTTCTTGTGGATTAAATGTAACATTGATGTGGTTTATGGGATTGGGTATTTTTAGTTGATTATTTGATATGTAAAGTAAGAAAAAGTAACAAAACCGTTTACATAAAAGGGATTTAAAGTGATTTTTAAAATGTTAAACTCACTGCCACTGAGTCCGTTCTGACTCAGAGCGACCCTCTCGGACAGAGTAAATCTGCCCTGTGGGTTAGAGATGGTAACTCTCTATAGGCGTAGAGAGCCACGTCTTTTCCCCGAGGATTGGCTGGCTGGTGGGTTCAAATCCTGACCTGGGGTTAGCAGCCTAACATGTAACTCCTATGCCACCCGTCCTCTTCAGAGGCAAACATTGAAAAGGGATGTGCTCCTATTTAAGAGCCAGCTGATATAAAGTTGACGACGACTCATGATGACCCCATCTGCTTCATAATTTTCAGTGAATGTGTATGTCAGCTGAACGTTCAGTCTTGTTGCTAACAGTGGCAGAGCACCACCATTTGCATCGCCTAGGAACTCCCAAGTTGCTACATAATAGCATTTCACTTAATAAGATATTTATAAAACGCAGGTACATCTCCACTTAAAACCTGGCAGTAAGGTTTCATTGCTGTTTACATTTATAGTTAAAAGTAAGTTTGGGGGTTGGTGGTGGCAGGTGTGGCAGCCTTAAGAATTCACCTGTGTTTAGTTTATACTCACGTAGCTTTTTACAGTTAAAGGACATTTTTATAAGTATATTTTAGAGAGGTTATCACTCGGGTAGAATTTTATCACAATACATTCATCAACATTGTTTGTCAAGTGCAATTTCTGTTGGCCCATCCAAGAAACCACTCTGGCCTGTAATTATTCCTTTTTCATTCTCTACAGAAACTACATCAGGAGAGAACAGTATTATCAACTCATAGAAATGCTTTTAAGAAACTAATGGAGAAATTAAACGCAGACTATGAGACGCTGAAAACACAATTGCAAGAAAACGAGACACATTCTCAGGTAAGGGGGAAAACAGCTTCTGGAATTCACCCCCTCCGGGCTGTCTCTCAAGTTCTTTTCCTTCATCTCGTCACCCAGAAGCAACCCTTAGTTTTATTTTTCTACGTGTGCTTTATGTATCTTCCCAAATCCTCTGGCTTTGAACCTAGCCCGGTTCTTCACAATCCCCGCTCAAAATTGCTGCTTTCCTGTCTCTGCAAGCTTAGAGTAGAAGGCTGCCACACACTAGGGGCTATTCTGGGCACAGCCATGAGAGTATTCTGGATGCTAGCTTTATACAAGGGTGAAAAATTGAGCATTTCTACTGCATAAAATTGAAAACCCATAAAAATCACAAAATAAACCCTCGTGACCTATCCCTCACAATTCAGAAGCGAGAACTCTGTCATGTGGTGTGGGTCTGTCTGTGTATGCACTTAGGTTATGTGTATGCACACTTTAGATATACACATAAATACCTACACATTTACCTTTTGCGTTCACAGAAATGGTATCAAATTATATGTATTATTTGAAGCTTGCTTTTTATGATTTAATTATGTACTTAAATACTACTCTCCCTTGTCAATAGCTGTTTTTCTTCTAAAATATGATTGCTATCAGGTGTAGACTATTCTATTACATGAATGTATTATAATTTACTTAACTAGTTCCCTGTTATAGGAGTGTTAGGTTACTTCTAGTTTTTAAATTGTTCACATAGTGTCATGAAGAACAGTCAGATCCTTGAATTTCTTGATTTACAACTCTTAAATATTTATTTAGGACACACATGCCTGCCAGTCCCATTCTCATCCCACTTAGCCCACTGGTAATTACATAAACTATGTCTGAGGTTATTCTAGGTATGATATCTAAAGGTTGAATGCATTAGACATTTACTCCTTTTCTCTGTATAATAACATCGTCATAGAACATCAACAACAAAATTATGTCTCTTGACTTCCCATTACCTAAAAATAACCAATGTTAACATAATGGTGTAATACCTTTATAGAATTTTTTTCTCTTTGTAATTTTATACACATATTAATATATTGTGTTTCTAAAAAATAGAGTCATACATGCAGCCCTTAAACTTGCTTTCTTCATTAAAATAAGATGATATACCTTAGATTCTTCTGAAAGATGTAGAGTTTCATATAAAATTTTGCCACACCGCTAAAAACTTGTAAATCACTAATTTACCAAATCCAAATTAACAATCAGTTATTCTATCTCAACTTCATAATATACCAACAGGTGGATGTCTAAGTGACAAGATCATCTTGGAGCACTAGAGAGGGTTTTGGAATGTTGGCATTTCTTACTGAACGCTGGTCCTCCTCCTCCCCCCCTGAAGGGATGAGGAGGAGGAAGGAGGGAGATAGTGCGAACACTGTTTCTCAGAGCCAGGCCGTGGCCACTTTCGATTCCCACACTAGGTGCTTATCATATTTCTAACTACTGAGAACAACAAATCTTAGCACAAACCATAGTTTAAAAATCTTTCTAATATTTAATCAGTGGAGATTATAGTGAATCTTTTGAAGCAATTTTCTGGGAAATTGGTTTAGACATCTGTAATACTTTCCATTAACAGAATCTGTGAGTAAGCTATGTCTTTCTGCTGGATGCTGTTGAATTGATGCTGACCCATCCAACCCCCATGGGATGGAGTAGCCCTGGCCCATAGTAGAAAAACCCATAGGGTGTTCTGATGATCATTTTTATGAAAGCTAATCGCCAAGTCCTTATCTATGGGAGCCACCCACTTGGTGAGTACCAACTGGCTGGCAACCTTTTGGCAATAGTATTTTTTGTGTAGCACTTCCTTAGAGGTCTGCTGCATTACACATCCACCTCTTTGTATGAGACAAAGGGGACAAAGGCCTGGCCCTTGACTTTCCTGAAGAGTACTGGAGATTCACTGCTAAAAACTGTGGACTGCTTCCTTGGGTCTCTCTCACCTTTCAGGTCCTATCTGAGGGCACTCAATCTGAAATCGAATTGCTAATTTAAAGCAGAGACCATTCACATGATTAATTAATTACAATTTACCCTAATATCTAGATTTATCTATTTGGAGGAAACAATGAGACAGATGCTACATCAAAACTGAATGTGGCCTTGAAAATAAGTTCACATAAGCAGAGTAAGGAATATTATTAATGCGATTTATTTGAAATGTCCAGGGTAAACATGATTTTAGTATTCATTTCTCAGACAGTCCTTTGCTTAGGGGAAAAACTATATGCATCTTAAAAAAGAAAGCCCACAACCCAGAGTCCAAGGTTAATTAAATCAGTAAAACAATTTAATTCTATAACTGTAAAATTGTCTTTTGAGGAAGCACCATCAATGTAATATCCACATTAACTTCCTGTTGATGCAGAAATTATTGTAATGATGCCAACTTTTTGCCAGCCCTTTTATAATCTTCACACTGCAGCTCTGCTCTTATCACGGCTTGTAGAGTTAGACAGGAAATTTAGCCCTGGAAATACGGAAGTGTCTCCTATATAGTTGCACTTTCGATAATATTAGAATATATGTTACATTTCTGGAGTTAGATTTCGAGGAGAGAGTCCCATCGTATCCCATGCCTCTTTTCAAGTTCTTGTAGCAAAAAGGAAAAAACAACAAATTGCCTTTTAGTTGGCATGATCATTGATGCAATAGATATTTTCAAGTTAAAATAAACATATAAAGTGAAACATATATATTTATCAATGTATTTGCTGTTGCTGAATTATTCCTAAATTTCTTTTGTTTCTCTGGTGGCTTTATCTTAATACAAAGTAAAATTTTGATAAGATTTGAAGTTGAACTATCTTTTCTTATTCCCTGTTAAGGATGCATAATTATTTTGATTTGGGGCACTTGTTAACATTTTTCTTTTGTGTTTTTAGCTTACAAATTTGGAAAGGAAGTGGCAACACCATGAGCAAAATAACTTTGTGATGAAAGAATGTATCCTTCACAAAGCTGAGAATGAACTTTCTTTATAGACTTTCAAAGAAACCCAATTCTCCACACACAGCAAATTCCTAATATGTACAAAAACTCTGAGCTAAGTTCTGAGCGAGAGGGTAGCTGAAAAAGTCTTCATTTTTATTCTCTAAAAGTTCAAATAAAAACCAAACTCACTACTGTAGAGTCAAGTCTTACTCACAGCAACCCTAGAGGACAGAGTAGAACTGGCTCTTGGGCCTCTGAGACTAACTGTTTACAGGAGTAGAAAGCCTCATATTTGTCCCACAGAGCAGCTTAGGGTTTCGAACTTCTGACCATGCAGCCCAACTCATAACCCACTATGTTAGACAGGGTTCTCTAGAGCAGCGGTTCCCAACCTGTGGCTTAGGACCCCTTTGGAGGTCGAACGACCCTTTCACAGGGGTCACCTGATTCATTACAGTAGCAAAATTGCAGTTACGAAGTAGCAGTGAAAATAATGTTATGGTTTGGGGGTCACCACAACATGAGGAACTGTATTAAAGGGTCGCGGCATTAGGAAGGTTGAGAACCACTGCTCTAGAGAAACAAAACCAGGACACTTATGATTTTATATATATTTATATAGATAGATACATAACATATGAAATAAACAGCTAATTAATCTATAGAGCAGTACAAATGGCTCAGTGCAACTCACTTTGGTGTTGTACATATGTTGCCATCGTTATTTTCTAAACATTTACTTTCTATTTGAGTCATTGATATCAGCTCCTCTTCCCCCCCCACCTTCTCCCTTGTATCCTTGTGACCCCTTAATAAATTATAAATTATTATTTTCATATCTTACACCAACCCCTCCCCCACTTTCTATTGTTCATCCCCCTGGAGGTGGGGGACTGGGGGTGGTTATGTGTCGATCATTGTGATCGGTTCCCCCGAGGATTTTTTTAATGCTCCCTAAGTAACTAAGACGAGTGTGTTACCCTGAGGACTTGTCTGCAGCCCTCCCTTGAACGTGTGTAAATGTCTTTCATTTGGAATAAACTAGTGTGTTCAATGTTCTTCTGAACATTAGCCTGGTCCAAACCTCAAATTGGATTGAGATGTGCAACATTAACTATAAAAGAGGCTTTTTACAATGGGGGACATTTTTTGAAACACGGTTTGCTTAGCTGATCTGGTTTTATTCGGTGTTTAATCTGTTAAAAAAAATTTGGTGGTGTTTTGGTTTTCTTTTTAATCTAGTTATCTTTTTTTTTTTTGTTTTCATTTTTAAATAAAATACCAGTATAAATTGGTTCCTTTCTTGAACCCTAGATTAATATTTTTACCAACAGTGTATTCCTTAACACCTAATTAGTCATTGCAACCAAGAGTCAAGAGAGTGATTACCGGCCAATTATGAAGAGCGTGAACAAACAGATCACAGATTACAACAAAACCATCGTGGAGGCCCTGCTCAGCACTGGTCGAAACTGAAGACTGTGAGGCCCTGGAGGAGCGGCGTCCGACGCTGGCCTCTCCCTGGACTAAACTGACCACCCCAAACCCCGCCGTGGAGAGTTTTACTAAACAGTTCTGAATGTATTGCTTGTTCATTGCTTTATTGTCAAAGCTGTCTATGATGTACATTTGATCCTTAGATATGTAAACAACATTCAATCCATAGTTAGAACTTGACCTTGTGGAGAGGACATGTGCAGTGATTGGTTCTAACTAGAACTTCAGCCAGAAAGTAGAAAAATTGGCCTATCCATGAATGTATACATGTGTTTGCATTAAAACAATGAGAAGTTTGGCAGGGTGGGGAAAAAAAAAACACTGGAAATTTCTTGAACCAAACAAAGTTTCCAACTTCCGCTCTAAATTACTCATCTTATATATGATATTTGGGGAACATAATTGAGTAGGATTCCTTTAAACTAAAATGTGTTATCTGAGGGAAATGCTCATTAATGTCTTTTCCTTCCTCTCAGAGCCTTCCAACAAATCCAATAGGAATATTCTCTGCTGGGATAGAGCGCCAGGCTCTTTCTTGGTCTGTAAGCTCCATCCGTGTTAAAATAATACCTTGTAAGTCCCGTGGAAAGAAGCTACAGACTGAACAAACATGCTGAGCAGGGTTACCGATGAAGATCAACATGGGAAAGTTAGCAAGGCTTTGTTTTGTTTCCCCATCCATATCCTTTATCAATAAGTAAACATGACTTCTTGCTACTCTCTCTCACTAACTGCGGAGTCCTTCCTGGGGCCAGTAGTCTGGTCTTAACGTTAAGGTGCAAAATGCAGAGCCAGGATGAGAGCTTGGAGGAATGCCATTCACACAAGAGATGAAAGGCTCGTTCATGGCAGCCTCGCGGTCTCTGGCTGTCTCTTGGGCCAGTTTTTCTGTAGCTCTGTTCCTTTTGTGGTAAGATTCTAGCATCAACAGTCTTAGTAAATTATACCATTCTGATTTCAACTAAGAAGAAATCAGTATTGTCCCACTAGATAATTATAGTAATTAATTTTAAAATTAATGCTGTATCCTTCATCTCCTGCACTATAGGTTTTATCATAAAAGTACAGATTTACCCGGAAATTGAACATCTTTAAAAAGACATTTTTAATTCAAAAATAAAAAATTTTGAAATGATAGACAAATAAAATGAAGAAAATAAACTAATTCTGTTCTTTTCTGTCTCTTCTGAGCACATCTATACATCTGTCATGCATAGTGTCATACATAGCGATAATTTTTCATATTTGAGTATTTTTAATAAACCATTTGAAAAACTCGAATTATTTATAACTTTAGAAACTTTATAACTTTTGAAACACGACTATTTAGAAACATGATGATTGTAATTTCTTGGACATCAGAATGCTTAATCTTGAATACTATTCCAGTATAGAACACTTTTAAAAACCAAGTCCCATGTTGTTGACTGAGGTTTGTAATGTAGAGTTAAGTGCAAACTTTGGATCAGAGAGCGGTTCATTTAAATCTCAGCTCTACCGCTAGTTAGATGACCTTGTGGACTTCCCAAGTGTCTCTAAAGTTAAGCTTCTTCATGTGTAAGAGGGAATAATAATGATTACCTCAAAGGCTTGAGCTAAGGGGTTTGTTGTTGGTCTCAGTGTGCAGAAATGTGCAAGAGTGCCCAATTCCCTGGAGTGACCCCCGTGCTGTGGTGATCCAGGTGGGCGAGGCACTGCCTCATTGCTTTTCTTTTTTCAATGAGCCAAACTGCCTTTATCACAAAGGAGCACTGGGAAGTAAGTGTTAGAATCCTAATTGCAAGATCAGCAGTTCAAAACCACCAACTACTCCACGGGAGAAAGACGAGGCTATTTGTTCTTGTAAAAATTTCCAGCCTCAGAAGCCCTGTAGAGGGTCAGTAGGACTTAGAACTGGATGGATGGAAATGGGTTTGGGTTTCTGGTTTTGTCACATAGCCACACATTAGACTTTGTGGCCCCAGTCTCTCTGAAACCCTGATTCTGTGAAGGGGCTTCAGAAAGCTTGTGGACAAACATGATCATTTTTTCCAGGAGCTTTTTGAGGAACAAGAATATCCGATTCCGTAACCAAGGCTGTGCTGTGTGGTTGTTTTCTGCCGAGTGGCTCCACACAAAGAAGCTGCCTCCCAGGAAAGAAAAGGACCCCGGATGGAGAGCCCAGTGAGCGTTCGAAGGAAACAGGAATCAGAAGAATTCAAAGGGTCTACCATCTAAAAGGGGGGTTGGACTAAATAGTTAAACCTCGTACAAAAGAAACAGAAAAATTAGATTTTCAAAATTCTTGATTTCAGCTTCATTTCAAAATCTTGTAGCAAACCAGTATTCTTACCAAGATAAAAACAAATAAACAAACACAGAAATACCACAGAAGAAAGGCAGATTTAATCTGTTGAAATGATATTTGGCCTAGAGTCAAGAACGAACTATTACTAAGTTAGCTATTTAAGATTACAAGACAATAGCTCAGCTCAGAAACAAATGAAATATTACTCATTTTCTGGGTTATCATTTTCAGCAGAGACACTCACTGTATTAGAGGAAGTTCAAACTGACATGAAGGTGAACGTATTGGCTACAGATTATAAACTCAGTCTGGACTCTGTTGTCTGTGTTCTAAAAAGACTTTCTCAATCTTTTATTGACGTCTTGTTCAAATGAACTTTCCCTTAGTTACTTGGGGGTGCACGCCTTAAGAGGGTGGCCAGTCCAGATCCACCCTACCCCCTACTGCCAAAGACAAAGCCGAGCCCTTGTGTTTCAGGATTAGGGGAAATGGTTCCGAAGGAGAGGAAAAGAAAATTGCTTTTCCAGCTTCTCTAACTTCCCATGCAGCCTACAGAGAAAAGCCAGCATCCCTTGGGAGGAAATAACAAAAATGCCATACGGTAGATGGATGGATGAAGCCTGCATCCCTGCCTCCGACGGCAGCTCTGGCCTTCATTCTGCCCCACGAGCCCCTGCCGCTTGCTCAGGGGGGTTATCAGTAGGCCAGATGGACATTTACTGCAAATGAGCCTTACCTTCCTGAGGACCTCGACCTTGAAGCTGTGCCTTGGCTTAGTTCCTTTTCCTGCCGGAATTAGCAAGGTCCGCAGCAAGGGGCTGGAGAAGCTGTGAAAGGACAGTGGCTTCGTTCCCGTTCCCTAGGCCACAGAGCACAACTGAGATGGTCAACTCTATCTGAACAGCTGTTCCCAAGAAACCTTAACGAGTAACTGAAGGAGTGTCAGGTGATAAAGATAAGCAAGGTTCTTCTTATTAAACCACTCACCAGTTAACTGTTTTCATCTCAGCAGAGATAGGGGTGGGGGGAGACAAAAACTCCAGCAAGAGCAGGGGGTGGGGGTGGGGGGAAGAGGGGCTCAAAAGTTCCTGTGGTCTAGTGTCTTCATGGGGCAAAGATTGCATCTCTAATGCCAGATTTGCTTTATTGCATCCATTGATCTATCAGACTTTGGAATCCGAAGATACTTCATGACCCTGCTGGGCACTGGCCTCCCCCCTCCCTCAACAGAAACCTCAACAAGCATACAAAACACCAAACCCATGGCCTCCAGTGTCGATTCTGACTCCTCGTAGCAAGCATTCGTGCTGCTTCTTAATGGTGATCTCACTAAGAATCGCCGCATGAAGTGATGAAAATAATTTTTAACAGGCTATGTTGAAGTGCCAAGCTAAAGTTTTGGCACAGTGTGGCGTCAGCCTCAGACATGGAGACACAAACAAAGCCCAGTTCCAAGACGAGATGAAATTCAGCACTGAAACATTGGACTTCGATGACGGAGAAATCCCTGGGATTTTGACCGAACCCTGTGCTGCCAAGTTGATTCTGACTCACAGCGGCAGTACTGTAGGACTGAGTGGACCTCCTTGGGGTTCTGAGGCTGTACATCCTTAGGGGAACAGAGCGCCTTACCTTTCCCCCCACAGAGAGGTTGGCAGCTCAATGCTTATCCCACTACCCCACCAGGGCTTTTGACAGTGCGATAGAAATGAAAATGGAGGGCCATGTTCTGTTACAGATCATTACTTCACGAAGATTCCTCCTCCCCTTAAAAATGACCAATGGGAAGAATTGCTTTTTAAAAATCTGAATGAAGAAGCATTAAACAACCAGCCACCGATGTATTCTCATCAGTGGTGGCTCCATTCATGGCCGTCGAGCCCGTGCTAACACAGTGAGCTGCACAAGACCTAATAGAACTGCCCTACTTGGGTTTCTTCGACTCTCAATCTTTAGGGGAGCAGGTAGCTTATCATTCTCCTATGGAGCGACTGGTGGGTTTGCACAGCTGACCTGGAAGAACACTTCATCACAGCCCTCTACATTCCCTCAAGCCCCTTGTGGTAGACTACTGTTCTTAAGTATTTTATCTAATTTATTTGAGTAAATGTGAATTCTGATAGAAGGTGTTCGGCGGCCTTCATTTGAGAGAAAGAAGCAGCCATAGAGAGCAGCTATTTTGTCTTGGTCTCTTAAGATTGTGACTTTATCCCTATTTCACCTTTCCTGGTAAAAGCATCTACATACATATGACATACTACATACATATTAGGGGGGTTAAAACATCTTTTTCATATGAAGGTGCTACAGAAATCTTTGCTAACCTCTGCAAAGATCGCCCTCCCTTACCGGAGGACATCGGCTCCTGTTGTTAGCCAAGCCAGTCACACCGTTCCCCTGCTTCTCTCCCCAAACTCCTACTCTTCTGCTTTATGTCATTACTGAGATATGCACCCTAACTGAAAGAGCGCAGGTACTCGCTTCTAAAGATGCACCCTTGCTACTTATTAGTGGAAGGACCTTAGACAACCCGTTCCATCTCCAGGAGCCCATTGCCAAGGTTCTTGGCACATACACGCATCTAATGTATGTGAACACTTGAAAAGTACAAAGTACTACATAGCATAGTACTAATTGTATTGCTTTACCGCTCATCACTACCGCATGCTTAGTCATCTCTATTCATTCCCATTCTTCCCTCTTTGAGCTTAGTTGGCCCTGCTCAGCTGCCAATTTCTGAGAAGCATATTGTCCTTTATCTAATTCTTCCACCGGTGCTTATCAGAATCTTGCCAGATTCCGTAGGAGGCTTCCTCTTATCTATTAGCCCCTCTGTAATGACTTTAGCCTTTGCCATATTGGTTTCTTCCTCTCAACCTAAGAACACTTCCGTCTCCCCGATTCTTTTCAAAAGTTCTTAAACAACTCATCTGCTTCACTTCTCATTCGCTGTTGCATGCACTGTCACGGAAATTGTTCTTAACATCACCAATAATATCTAAATTACTAAAATGAGTAAGCCCTGTTAGTTTGACGCTAGTATAATATTTCTGTAGCCACTACCCAGCCTGCCAGTGTGCTCCATTGTGGGGGCTTGCTTGTTGCTTGCAAGACTGGATACTAAGCTACTGGTATCTCAGATACCAGCGGAATCACCCATCGTTTACACCCATCGTGACCAGGTTTCAGCAGAGCTTCCAGACTAAGAACTAGGAAAAAGGAATAGGCTGTCCGCTTTGCAGGAATGAGCCACTGAAGGTCTCTTGAAGAGCAGCAGCATATTGTGAGACAGGGAGCCAGCAGATGCGCTCCTCAGGCTGGACGGCATTCAAAGTCATGGATTGACACGGTGGCTGCGCCATGGGCTCAGAGAGATCGAGAGTAAGGATGGCGCAGCAGGCCCGGGCGGTGTTTCTTTTGTTGTGATAGTGACACAATAACAGCAACCGCCACTTCCTCCCTGTAGCTTTCTCTGCCTTTGGCTTTTATGACCCCCTTTCACTGGATTCTTCTGCCTCTGCATCCCCCCCTCCCCCGCCCTCTTCTTTTCTGTTTCTAAAAGAGGAGGAGGGAGTTTTAGCTTGCCCGATTAAATAATTTCATTCCTCTTGCTTACATCTCATATCCCTATAAACCAGGCTGGTTTTGCCCTTTGATGCCGGTTTTGTAGTTGGGGTAGTGGTATAATGGGACCCCAGGTGGCATAGTGGATGAGGCCTTGAGCTACAAATCTCAGGCTCAACAGTTTGAAACCACTAGTCGCTCCAGGGAGCAAGATGCACTTTTCTGCTCCTGTAAAGATTTACAGCCTCTTTGCCCCATAGGGTCGTTATGATTCAGAATTTACTTAATGGTGGTGCATTTGATTTGGTTAAACAGTTTCATGAAAATTGGATCATGGCCACTTACATCCCATAGATTTTTAAGTGTCACCTGTTGTAATATGCTGTCAAGTTGATTCCTACTCATAGTACCCATATATGACAGATTAGAA